CAAAAAAAAAAAACCAGCATTGATTTATACACCCATTTTTCCAAAACATACACATATTAGTTTCACACATCATAACTCAATCCTACAATGACTCTACACACATTTACAGATTCAATTCATCTTTTCAACATGTAAATATACAACTTTCAGCACTATTTTCACTTATCCATTCTTCCAAAACATACACATATTAGTTTCACACATCATATCTCAGTACTATGGTATTTTACACACATTTACTCATTCTATTCATTCTATTCATTTTAATAACACATAATTTCACAAATTTCAATCCTAATAAAACTCCCTATTGCTGGCCATTGCTTGAGCAAATTCCTAAATTTTTTTGTTTTCAAAACATAATTTTATCTTTATTCATGCATTTACAATCCCAACTTGCTATGATTTCATTCAATTTAACACTTCCATTTGAAATTACATGAAACCTAAAAATTAAAATTGGGGATTTTCTTCCCCTCTTCCAAAGAACAAGAAAGAAATGAAATTAATTGAGGACAAGTTTCTTACCTTTGCTATTTTAACTCATTTGAATGAGTTCTTGCAAAAATATCCAAAAATCGTGTTCTTGTCTTTCAAATTTCCAGCTTCCTCTCATTATTTTCCCAAGCTCACTTACTCCCTAAGTTTAGTCCTTTAATTTATTTTTTTATGTAGGAATTTCATGCTTTACTCTCCCAGCCAGCCTTATTACTTAAAAAAAAAAAAAGACGGAGGAGAAGAGCAATTTTAGTGTGTGATTAAGTTATAATATATGGTATTTTTTACTTGAAAATATATTAAAATATTTATTTTTAATATTTGACATACATATCAAAACTATTGAAACACAAATAATAATAATAATAATAATTTTTCATGTTAAATTCACTTTTAAAGCACAGCAAAACGCATATTAAAACACAATATCAAACAGCCTTTAATAGTCATTCTGTTTCCTAACATACAGCTGGACACTTAATAAAGTTAGGGTTTTTTCCTCGAAATTTACAAAAATGCCACCCTATTGTCCACATTGTTATTTCTAGCAAATACCTCATCGTTGGCACTTTTCATGCATCGATTTAATTTTTTTTTATCTCGTCCAGATTATTACACTAATAAATTGAGAATTTTCTTGCCACCTGTCATAATAAAATTTATTTATTAGCTGTGAGTTTACACTGACTGACGATATTGTTTGTGCATAAATTCATATTTTAATTCATTAAGGGCTTGACACAAATTCACCGTGAATTTTTCACCACTACTTCACAAAATTTTTATTATTTTTAAGTTGGTTTTTAAATGATTTATCATTTGGTTTATATAAAGATAGGAGAGTGAAAATTATTGAAATTTTAAGAAAAAAATTTCAAGTGACTTAGATTTTAGCCACCAATAATTATAATTTTATAATTTTAGTATTTATAGATTCATTTTTCAGAAATAAGTTTATTAATGGTAGCTTTCACCTTTAATGACGCTAAAAAAAATAAATTAGAGCTTGATAATTTTTTTTATTTGATTATGAGTTTTAGGCCAATTAAAATATATTCTGTTGTTATAAATTGAGTGATAAAAATTTATGAGTTGTTTGTTTTTTATATATATTTTAATGAAATATAAGTTTTTAGGATCCAGAAACTTATATCATGATATTTTAGTTATTAAATTCACCCTTAATAATTGAAAAAGATAATAGAAAAATGACGCGTCATTTATCCAAATAAGTGATGCATTGTCTGCTTCTAACGTGTTTATATTTTAAAATTTATTTTTAATATTAATATATCTAAATCATCTAAAATTATAAAAATAATTTAATTTAAAATAAAAAAATATAATGTTTTTTAAAAAAACTTGTGAAACGTCAAACTTTTTTGTTTCTCATTAAGAAAACGCGTTTCCTTCGCAAGGGTTTTTAGTCCGAGAAGAGAGAGAATCAAGGCAACAAACAGAGAAGATGACCCCCCAAATCGATCGAGAATTCTAGAAGGTAAAATAAAACATCACCTGGGTTTGAATTATTATTTTTATAATTATTTCTCATTTGACTTGGTGTTTTGATTTCACTTTCCGAAGCTGTTCTTGATTGTGGAGATTTTGGTTTAACCTGGCAACCTGATTTTCTTTTCTTTCTAAAATATTCTTTGTTTAACCCACTTTTTTTTATAAAAAAACAGTATCTATTAAATTTATTTAACTGGAAATTGAACAGCTATTTTGCATCTAAGGAAATTAGGAATCATGGTTTTTTTTTTCCTTCAGCAATTGAGGGTTACGGAGGAAAAAAATGAAAATCTGGACGGACCTGAAGGAAAGAGGGAGATATACCCTTACGCCCTTTTTTTGTATCCTTATCCAAATGCAAGTCGGTTCTGTGTATGCATAGCTGGTCCTTGTACTTTGTCTTTCTTTTCATTGATGTAAAATGATCTATGTTGCCTGCAATTGAACAGGTTCTTGAAGCAACAGACTGAACCTAAAAGTAGCAGGACAGTCTTCAATGGGATATGTTGCTCTTACAAATGATCGTATAACAGATTGGAAAACTATAGTTGTCTTGCTTCACTCTACATGAGTAGTTGAGTGCGAGTTTTGTTTTTTTCTGGTTATATCTGAAAGCATAAGTAATAGAGTAGTTGGATTGCAATGGATAACATCATCAGTGAGAGCCTGCTTCGTCCCAACTGGAGAAAAGTCGCATATGGAGGAATGCAGCCCGGGTTTGATGATAATCATACTGATGAGTCTTTTCTTGAAGATATGGTCATGAATGCTAATGTTGTTAAGCGGGACATTCTGAAGGTGATGCAAGACTCAGTTTCTATCTCTCAGTATCTGTGCATTGTTACTCTTGTCAGCTTGGTTTGGGCTCACACCCTTCAATCAACCCTTGATGAAAATTCCCTCTTGCTCCTTGATGCAAGCCTTTTTGGATCAGGTTTTTTAGTTCTTCTTTTAACCAAAGAAATGCGTTCCTTGAATCTACTCTTCCATTATATCCTCAATATCTCTTTTTTCACAACTGGGTTATACATGTTGGCTCCTATTTATCACCCTCTCACGAGGTCCATAAGCTCGGACTCCATTTGGGCAGTTACTGTTACACTTGTCATACTCCATCTCTTCCTGCATGACTATTCAGGATCGACCATTAAAGCTCCTGTGGCCCTAAAAAATCCAAGCTTAACCAGTTGTGTATCTTTAAATGCTTCTGTTGTCGCTTCAGTTTTTATTGCGTCTCGTCTTCCATCAAGGCTGCATGTATTTGCCATCATGCTATTTTCGTTGCAAGTCTTCCTTTTTGCTCCATTTGTCACTTACTGTATCAAGAAATTCTCCTTCCGCTTGCACCTTGTGTTTTCTTTTGGGTTGATGGCCGTGACCCTGGCTCTGGTTTATACACTGCACCACTTACTTTTCATGCTACTGCTTGGTTTCTTGGTGTTTATAAGTGTTGTCTGTCCTTATTGGCTCATAAGAATTCAGGAATACAAGTTTGAGATCAATGGCCCTTGGGATGAGGCTAAGCTTTGTTTCAATGTAACAGATTGAGATTCTTTGATCTCTGGATGGGATTGATTGGAAAGCAATGAGATTAAATTGCTCATGAAAAAGGGGACTTGGTTCACTGTTTGTTTTGCAGGACGATTGGTTCATAATATATGTTGGGGAATTATTGTGGAATTGTTGAGGGATTAAATGTTTGAGCTTTGATCATTAGGCAGGTGTGATAGCATTCCAGTTTCTAATTTAGTCTCATCAAGGATGTTCATGCAGAGTTAACCTCGAAAGTGTTTTGCTTCTCAAATCACACACACTCAACAATGCTGCTGTGTTGCCATCATCTTTTGATGCGCTAATTTTTTCACGGTTAAATCATTAAGGATCGATCCTCTGTATTCTAGAGCCTTTCAGTTGATTATGCATGGTTTAAAGCTGTAAACCCCAACTCCTTTAGCAAACGCCAGACTGGGTATTTTGGAGTTAGGGTTATGGAGTTACAATCATTGTATTTTGCAACGAATTGGATTTATTTAGGTGAATGGAGTCATTTCAGTTCTCTGAATCTCTCCATGAAAGTTTGCTAGTTCTAGAAGCACGAGTCGGAAAACTAGTAGTGCCCACTACAGGCAGGCAAGATTGTGCCATAGCCAGGAATTATTTTAAACATGGCAGAATGCCAATACAACTATTCATCGTTGCATCTTTAAAAAAATTAATTGAAAATTAAAAAAACTGATATTCACTTTAATGAAATAAAACAAAAATTACATGAACTAATAAATAAAACAAATTTTCTTTTATCAAAATTTTTATTTTTTTTAAAAATGCTTATCATAATCTTAAAAGCAAGTTTTAATAAAAAAAAGTGATGAATTGATGTTTTTTTATATGAAAATATTACAATAAATATAAAAATAATAATTTTGAGAAAAATTATAATAAAATTTTAAAAAAATAAATATTTCATTAATATTTAGAAAATTATACATATTAGGTTTATATATAACTATTCAAAAAGTGATTGTTAACATTACTATGAAAGGCTAAAATATCTTTTAAAAATGCATAATTAAATAATTATTTAAAAAAAATTCAATTAAAAAATATAAAATAATAATAAAATTAAAAAAAATAAAAAGATATGCACACATGGGTTTGACCTGCATGTCTTTCAATAGGGTGGTCAAGCGCCCAATTTATATGAAAATATTACAATAAATATAACAATAATAATTTTAAGAAAAATTATAATGAAAATTTAAAAAATAGATATTTCATCCATATTTATAAAATTATATATATTAGGTTCATATTAACATTACTATGAAAGGCTCAAATATCTTTTAAAAATGCATAATTAGATAATTATTTAAAAATAATTTAATTAAACAATAAAAAAAACAATGGAATTAAAAAAAATAAAAGGACATGCACACATGGAATTGACGTGCATACCTTTCAATGGGGTGGTCAATCGCTCAATTTTAAAAGAAAAACCGTGCGTGGGAAGGAAACCGGCGTCTTTGAGGTTCTCAATAACATCGAATCAGGAGATCCGACCCGATAAATAAAAACACAGATTCGGAAGACGGAAGCAGAAAAGGCCTAGAAACCCTAGAAAAACCCCGTCCAAATTCTACGAGAATCATCAGCTGCTCCTGCAGAAAGAAGCGAAAATTTAAATTCTGGGAGAGAATGGGAAAGAAGAAGAAGAGAGCATCGTCAAAAGTATGGTGCTATTACTGCGATAGGGAATTCGATGACGAGAAGATTTTAGTACAGCACCAGAAAGCCAAGCATTTCAAGTGCCATGTCTGCCATAAAAAGCTATCGACCGCTGGTGGCATGGCCATTCATGTCCTCCAGGTCCACAAAGAGTCCGTCTCCAAGTAATAACCAAAAGCCTTGCTGCTCCTTTTTTCCCCCTTTTCTCTCTCTCTGTCTATCATTTTTTTTTTTAATTTCTTACCTTTTTACTTATATTTTAGTTATTGTCGGAGAATGCGATTAATTAGGGTTTCATCAGTTTTCATTATTGGGATTTATTTTTCAAAATCACGATCTGTTTGGCTATAAATGTTTTTTTATTGGAATTAAAAATTCCAGCTTGCTTGCAGTACATTGCTTGTTGTTCAATACCTTTTCTTTTGTGGGGTTTTCGATATATGTATGTGAGATTGACTGAAAATTGACTTGAGGAGAATGTTGTGTTATTTTTTTATTTTATTTTAGGTATCAGAATTGTTTTTTTGATTTTTATGCTGTTGACGAGGTCTACGTTGATTTAGGTGACCTTGTCTGACTATATGATGGATTTGGTTCAGGGTTCCCAATGCAAAACCTGGAAGAGAATCAACTGATATTGAAATATATGGAATGCAAGGAATCCCACCTGATGTTCTCGCTGCTCACTATGGAGAAGAAGGTAAGGAAGTTGACTGGTGTTGTTTTCAACAAGTTACTTTGTAATGATTGTATGTACTTGCCTACCATCATTACTTTTCTGTTAATTGATTGATTTGTTGAGTTTTATATCTTTTCATCTTTAGAGTTCTGTCGTCATTGCTGGAATTGAAAATGTACTTGCCTGTCATCATTACTTTTCTGTTAATTGATTGATTTTTAAATTTTTAAATCTTTTCAGCTTAGAGCTCTGTCGTCATTGCTGGAATTGAAACTTGGGATTTTAGACCTTTTTATTTGTTTAGTTCTTTCTTTTATTCCCTCAACTTGCAAATTGGCTGAGCTTTTTATTCTGTATAAACTAGTTTATGTCATTTTTCCTCTCTTGTATTTTTGCAATTTTGGTAAAGTTAAAGGTACTGTTGAATTCTAATTTTTCCATGATACAGTTAGCTTCTTTTTTATATGTATATTTATCAGTTTGGAGTCTACTCGCAATTTCTGTTACTGTACTAAGAGTTTAATTGTAGAAGTTGTGGTATTTATCACATAAATTTTGTTTACTTCTCACTGATATTATATTTACTGGCAGAAGATGAGAATCCATCAAAAGCTGCTAAAGTGGATATTCCATCAGCTCAGCTTGTCGGTGGTATGGTGCCAGGACCATTGGGTGCTGGATATCCTCCACGACCTCTTGCTGCAATGCAGCCAAGGTATTTCTTTTCTATTCTCTACTATTAGAAGATTACCACATCCTTCTATACTAATATTTCACCTAGCATTGAAATGCAGTTTTTTCTTCATTATCATGATTAATGCTGTTCTTTTATGTTTATATTTCACCATTTTGCAAGCATTGAAATGGAGTTCATTAGTGTCGTGGATGACTGCGATTTTGAAGCACTTTTTAATTGTTCTTGCTTCATTCATCTCACAAAAGTATTTTCAAAATAGAATATAGGTTGTTGAGAAGGATTTTTGTGGACTACTATACCCAGATTAGGATATTGATGTTTAATTGAGTTTATTTGAGTATAAGGCAGCAAGGGATGAACAAAATGCAACTTTCTTCATCTATATTTTTGTTGTTCTCCTTTCATGACAACTGTAATATGCTTTAATTAAACCAAGTAATCCAGGATTCTAACCATACAACTGTGTTTCATGCTTATCCTAATATGGCTACTACTCAAACTTTGGATGTTATCTTGTAAAGAATAGAAGATCATCTTTGATCCTAGGTCAGGTCCTTGTACTCTCAGTTCAGTTAAACCATGGAACTATCTGTTTGTCCTGAATTTTCTCATGATTCTGTTTCGAAGATTTGAAATCTGTGACATATACCCTGACCAAGTATAAAAGTGAAACTTCTGACTAACTGTGTCTTCAGCTTTCAAAACTAATTGAATCTTGCCCTCATCAAAGGTTATGGGGTCCCCATAGAAGTAAACAACAGATTCATCCAACATGGCTTTATTACATTTGAATTATTTGGAAAATATAGTGATTCATGGTGTCAATTTATGTGCAGAGGAAAATTGTGATTAAGTTCTCATCATATTTTTGTTGGTTTTTGGTTACAGTTATAATTCTGCTGTACCTGCTCCTCATGCTGGTTGGCTGGTTCCTCCTCGTTCACAACATTGGTTGCCACAGCATCCTGCAGTTTCAGTTCCTTCTTCTGCCCCAATCACATATACCCAGCAGCCACTATTTCCTGTACAAAATGTGAGGCCTCCTGTGCCATCAACCATGACACCTGCACTCATACCTTCGCAAGTAACTCCTCCAGGACTGCCCACATCCACACCATCTGTATCACAACCATTGTTCCCTGTTGTTAACAATAATTTGCCTCAAAGTTCAACATTTTCTGCTCCTTTTCCTTCGAAAAGTCTCTTATCAAGCTCGCCTGCAGAAGTTAAAGGTTCAATGAATGTGCATTTGGGAGTCAATGCTTCAGTGACAACTGGCTACCTTACTCAGAGTGCTTCAGGTTTGATTGTGGCCCCTTATTGATTTATAATATAATAGATGCTCTTTATTTGAAAAAAAAGGTATTGAAACAGATCTTGTGTCTAACGTTTTTCGTGGTTGATTTAAAAAGTGTTAATTTTCATTGCGTGTGATGGTTTCTTTTGCAGCCTTCATGCTACAATAGGATCATACTTTATTATAATTGCTTTTATTAGGACCCATCATAAAATCTAAGTTTGCATTTTGCTCCCTGAATGGTAATGTCCCACTTCAATTTGTTTATAGCATCTGGGACACTAGGCAATACACATTCTTATGCCTCTGGTCCAAATACTGGTGGCCCTTCTATTGGACCGCCCCCTGTAATTGCAAACAAGGCACCTGTCATCCAGCCAGCTGTTAATGAAGTCTATCTTGTTTGGGATGATGAGGCGATGTCCATGGTAGGTTGTTTGTGTTAAGAATGCTTTCTTTCAGTTTGACCTGATAAATTCTCACTTGTTAGACCTGCTAATGGTTTGAATATTTGCAGGAGGAAAGAAGAATGTCCTTACCAAAGTATCAGGTGCATGATGAAACTAGCCAGGTAAGTTGTGACTACCCCTTTACTATTTGGAGTTGGTTTGCACGTCTAACTAGATGGGTAGGCTTTATGCCTTTTGTTTTCAGATACAGTTGTTTACGCATTGTTACCTATTTAGAGAGGTATTTCTGTATGAATTTCCAATTTTTTCTTTTTCTTAACTCGTCAACAAACCCACAGTTTGCAAATGGTTATGTGCCTTGTAGTCAAGTATCTTTTGACTTCTAATGTCCATTGGCTGATGGGCATGCTGTTTCTGTTTTTGTTTTCCGTGATTATGTGGTTGTCAGATGATTCAACTAGTCATATTTGTTAATTATGTCGGTATTTAGTTATTACTGTTTTGACAAGCTTGCTGGAATCAAATCGAGGATTCTCCTTCTCCTCCTTCCTAACGTCATTCTCAGTTAACAAAAGTGTATGTATTGCTTATTTAGAATTTGAATTTATTTGTTGTTATTCTTCTCCCTATGCTTGACTTTGAAATGTGGGGTTTGGGTGGAACAAGATGACACCCAACAGATTTTTGCTCATTCCTAGCATGATTACAATTTATTTTTATCATCGAACAGTGAAGTCGGACTTGGCCCAGGTCAGCATCTTTCGCAAAGTTTGGCATCTTTCGCAATAGGACCAAGCTTTCAAATACCTGGTTTATCCAACTGATTTCTAGTCACAATTCATTTCTTCTCATTGTTGTTGCTTGTTGCAGATGAGCTCCATTGATGCAGCTATTGACAGAAGAATATTGGAAAGCAGGCTTGCTGGTCGAATGGCATTTTAGAAACTGAAGGCTACTTGGAATCTTTTTGCAGATGCGAAGCCCTGCTGAGCGCCACAAAATTCATATTAAATGCGTGGGGATCCCTGGTTCTTGTTTGCATCCTTCAGGATCATGCTTGTGTTGTATTCTTTACAAGGTAGTGAGATAAAATGAGCCCCCATTCTTTAGCTTGTAGGTTAAATCTCGAGGGATGGCGGCAACAATCTTTCTGTCCCTTTCAATCTTTCTTTCTTTCCTTTTTTTAACCTTTGAAAAAAAAAAAAAACGTGTGAGCCTGTTAGGTTAATATATTTTAGTTCGCTCTTATTATCTGGCTCAATCTCTTGCCGTCATTTTGCATGTACCTCGTGAAACTTGGAATTGGATCTGCTGTGAGCATTATTTTCTTGTTTTATGGATTTAAGTTTCACTATTCATTAAATCATAGTGTAGGTCGTGGTTTTCATGAAGGAGATGGTGTATAACTTGCAAAATTTATTTCATTATTAACAAATAAAACTAAAGATTTGGAATGTTCAAACACGATTCTCCCTGTTAAAAAGCAGTGCAGCATCAGCAATGCTGCTTCTTTTTCCTACTGTTCTTAAGACACGGAAAGATGCAGCTTTATCTTTGTATTTTCCTGCAGCTAGGATTTTGACCATTATGTAAAAGCTCATCTTGTAAAAGCTATCTTGGTGTTAATGTGTTTGTGTTGAAGAGAGAGATCAATGGAAATGGTTTTCGGTAACATGTAGGAAAACACGCATTGATGTTTGGAAAGGTATTTTTATTTAATTTAATTTTATATTTTTAGAATGATTAAATGATGTTTTAAGATTGAAATAATTTGAGGCATTTTCCAGAGAAAATATGTTTATATGGTCCAAACCGGAACCTTATTTTTTCATACCGTGGGTGATTAGAAAATGTATTAATGGGTGATAAGTTATTGGATCTATTTATAAAAAAGAAATGGGAGGGCTTTCATCCGTTTATTTTTTTTAAAAAAAAAAGTTTAATTTTTTATGGTTAGGCATGTGGGCTTAACCTTGTAAACCAAGGCATGTTTGGGTCATGTTCTTGAAGCCTAGGTGAGTTTGGGCTTTCCACCACCTTTTTTTTAATTAATTATTTTGTTTATTTTTTTTAATTTTAGAATAAAATTCACTTTAAATAAAATAATTAAGATGGTAATTATAAAATTATTCTGTTATTCCATTATTTTAAAATAAGATAATAGTTACTATGATAATATTAGTGAATTTTTATGACTAATTATTTATGAATCTAATAAATAATTTGTTTTTAAAAAATTCTTGCTCATAAATTTTCAATGAGAATAAAATATCTATTCATTTATTTTTTATGGTAAAATTTTTATATAATTTTATTAAATTAATTACTCTTATATACTCTGAAGTCCCTAAATTTTTTATTTTTATTTTTTTACATTTTCAGTCCTTGTAGTTCCAGTGATATAAAATTTCCAGTAGGCACCTTTATTTTGTTCAGGAGCGGTACCCTGAAAGAACATATCTTGAGTATCATGAGAAAATTTCATTAAATAATAGCCGTTTTTATCTTGTTTAATCTTGCAAGATTAAACATACTTCTATGGGAACTCTTCTGGGTTTATATGAACTTTAAAGAAGCATTAGGCTTGTGCATGTCTGGACGCATATCTATCATGCCTAGGTTTGGTGTGACCTGAAGTTGCAATCTGACTATCCTCGTATTCTGTGCCAGCAACGAGTCAAAGGGTCATACTTACTCTGTACCCTCACCACAAGCCACAACATGCTAAGAATTTGGTGACACTGGAAGCTGACTCGAATTTTGAAATACTGAATTCTTATTTTGTATATATCTGTCATTGTCTGCTTGCTGAATCACAATCCAAATTCGGTATTGCTCTATCATTGAGCATGGGATGTCATGTCTTCTGGATACATGAGGATAGATATTCCTTAAGGGACAGCCCATAATTAAACTTGAGACATCCAACCTGGAGTTGTGTCACCTCCAAATTGTAGAATGAGTTAGTGGAAATAATATGAAATGGGGAAGGCTGCCCCTTGGTACGTAGCCAGAGATGTAGTGAGCCTTCATAAGAAGCAGACAATTTAGAGAGAAAGAGGGCGTCTTCTCTCTCTGTGAACCTGCGTGCCTGTGTAATTTATCTTAATATATCTAGTATTATTTGCAAGGTTCCTGGTTCTTTTACGACACGAAATTCATCTGACAACTGTTTGGATAAGCTTCGCATATGCACAGGTTGGAGCGAAGGTTTGTTCTGTGTCACGGAAGACAAAGACCACCACACATGAAGTGGTGGGAGTGATGACAAATGGAGACACTCAAATAGTATGTCTCATGGCTTTGATTTATTAACTTTATTCACTTTTCGTTTGTGTATATTTAATAAACTGCATCCATCTGCATGAAAGAGCAAATATTATGGTCAACAAAATCATCATAAGCAGATTAAATCCTTGGCTAAAAACTGAGGAAGTCGTCCTAGAAAAGGAAGTCTGATGTGACTACAAGGCCTTCTTCTGCCATCATTTAGGAATCATCAAGGATTATTGTGATACTGTTGAGTTTGTTTACGTGTTTTAAAAGAATTTAAAAAAAAATTAAATTTTATTTATTTATTTTAAATTAATATACTTTTAATATTTTTAAATTATTTTAATAAACCGATATAAAAATAATTTTTAAAAAATAAAAATAATTATTAACATATAATTTAATTTTAACATAAAAAATTATTTAAAAACAACGACAACCAATAGCCACATTTAAAAAACAACTGATACCATTAGCCAGCAATTCAAGTTTTGTTATCAGGAGCCAATCATTTCCTCCTGTGCAATTGTTGTTGGCTGTCAGATTAACTTTTTGCTAACTAATCCTAAAGAGAGGCTGTGCCTTTGCTTTAAAATTATGCCCAGTATCATAAATGGATGTATTTTATCTGTATCGAGTTGTTTCTTGTTATGAATGATGGCTTTTGGGTCTCCTGTGCTTCCCGTGGCATGCTATTTATATGGTGTTTTCTAGTTATTTTGATACTTATTACCAAGTTAATCTGCAAGCAAAACAAGTTCTATCCTTGCATTCGTGTTGGTGTGCTGTCGGGACATATAGTAATTATTTTAAATCTATTTTACAAGGGTATTCCCAATTACTTTTATTGATTGAAAATTAGGAGTTGCGCTTAAACAATTAGGGTTTTTTCTCAATTTTCCACCATAACCTTCTCAATTGTCACTGTTTTGTATGCTATACGTACACCCTTTATATTCACAGGTGGGCGTAGCATGTCAGCAGCATTTGTTGAACATCAGCCTCGTAAGTGTAACTGTAACTGTCAGCATGGTTTTAACCTGCAGTTGCAATACCTAGGCCTTGTATAACATGTGTCTACCATTAAGGTCATGAACTAGTAGCAGATCTTAGAATTGTTTCCCCAATACATATGTTTTCAATAGTTTCACTGAAAGCGCTGCACTTGGAACACTTCTAAGGATGAACATCATAATATTCCTCAAAGTGCATGAATTCATTACGTGTCATACATGATTATGATACTGTTTACCTTGTCAATATACTTGCAGGGCTTTTGTGTGGGTAAAAGCTACTCCAGTTAGGTCCATATCCGTAACATGTACGTACTTTTGGAGTGGAATAAAAGGGACAAAAAGAATGTTCAAATCCTTCAAAGGTCTAGCCCAAAGGAGGAAAAAGTCTCAAGAACTCTCTAGATTAGGTTTAGGGGAAAAGAAGCCTGCACAGAATTAAAACTAGGAAGAAGCAAAAGAAGATCGATCTTGCGTTAGTCTCATTATAGTTCGTAATTATTGTTATAAAAAAAACATCAAAAGCTTGCTATAACTACTTCTAGAGAGGCGTCGTAATGTCTTGTCATTGTCAAGATTTTAGTATTCTGCTCGTGTAAGCTAACCTTATTCAAGAGTGGTTGGATTGATTGATTAAATGCGTGGGAGCACAAGCAAACCCAAAACAAAAGCGGGTTTTGTGTATGAATATAAGACTGGCCTCGTTGAGACAAAGAAAGACTTGTTGAAGGTCGTTGCGGAGTTCAAAATATGTTCAGTTTTATGCTTGCTATTAACACTCATTTTGTCGGTAAAGTTCACCATACCATAGTAATTTCAGTTCTATAAATAACATATGTTGACCCAATCTATTATTTCCTGCAAAATTTGGACGCAAAAGGCAGCCATTTTACTGGCAGATTCAAGTTTACCATTCTTTTTTTTTCTTTTAATTATTACTATCTCAATCATGACTTGCATCCGACTCTGGCTCGTCAATGGTATTTGTACTTAGGCAGTCAAAAGACATTGGGATGAAGATCCACTACTCTCTACGAGCGAAGAAGTTATGAAGAATATTTCATTAGAAATTGTTCGGGAAAGGTTGTTGGACCGTGTTCATCGGGTAAAGCTTGGATTTTCAGTTTATTTAATCTAAGGTCACGGCATATTTAATCTAAGCTTGGTTAGGCCCGTCTATTATTGCAGCGCAAACGAGATTTTGGAAATTTTTAATTTTTTTAATCTTCAAATTAATTTATTATTTAGTGTTTTTTTTTTATAATTTAGATGTGTTGATAAAAAATAAAATAAAAATATTATTTTAATAACAATAAAAGCTTTAAAAAAACAACTTCTATCATATTTTCAAATCAATTTTAACTAGTATTTGATATTATGTTAGCGATTATTTTTTAAAGTATTTTTTATTTAAAAATATATGAAAATAATGTTTTTTTTAAAAAAAATCTATTTTAATATTATCATATCAAAAGAAGATCCAAAAATATAAAAAAAATAATTACAAACAAAAATAATATTTCAAGATTTTATGAAATATAAATTCTAACGCAAAAACAGATACGAAATAAGAGTATTTAAATGAAGCTTTCAATCCTGTCCATTTCAGGATATCCCGTATGGCATTGAACATCATCTGATGTATTGGAAAGAATTTAGAAATGGTTCTCTTAGGATTGAACAACACTTCACCACTCCTAAACTAAGCCAGCGAAAGATTATTGCGGGCAAGAATTGAGGGATAAGAAATTGGGGAAGCTCCTTCCATTTCTAGGGTTACTGCTACTTTTCTGTTTTGCATCTTTTACTGCAAATTTCTTTTCAAGGTGGCCATCTTCATGCATATTTGGCAAGAACTGAATGGGAACGCTAAGATGGATGCCTTTCTTTGAAAATAAATAAATAATAAAATAGTAAGGCAGTAGATAAGAAGATATGAGTGCAATCCAAGAAACTATACGTACGCGGCATCCATCCAGAATAAGCTTTTGGAAAACTAGGGACAGTGTGCAAACCAGCAAATTGTCTTTTCGGTGGGTGCTGCCATTCCTGCTTTTACATCTTGCTTTTTTGAATT